ACAATACTAAAATAACTGCCGAGTCTTGACCTTGTTTTCAGTAATAAAACCCAGTGATTGTACAATTTAGAGAAAGCTATTCTATTTAAATAACAATGATATTTTTGTAAACAAAATTTTATGCACTGACATGTCAGATGAGTAAATTGCCTTGTAGCGATGTTTTAAATTATATTGTAGAAGGTGGTATCAATACAACCTCAAAATAGAAACAATTAGTCAGCAAATCTCAACGTAAGATGTTTGCTAAAAGTCTTCCAGATAAAGCTATAAATAGGACTGTGATCGGGCATGTTGGGATTCTTTAGATTTCTCTGTCTAGCATCCTGCATTGTCTCCCCCTTACCTGTGCACAATGACTGACTGAGAGGGGTCAGTTTGACTTCTCCTTTCACTGATATAGTTATCTGTAGTGTTCAAGGTGAGTCTGAATGTTTCACACCAGGCTGGTCTAGTTTGAAGAAAAGGAGACTGCAACTTCATTGCACTCTACGGCTTCCTGGGGAGGGGGCAACAAAAGGGAGGTGCTAATCTCTTCTTCCTGATATCCAGTGATGGAACATGTGGGAATAGTTCAGAGCTGCATCAGGGGAGGTTCACACTGGAGTTTAGGAAGAATTTTTTTACCAAGATGTAAGCACTGGATCAGACTTCCTAGAAAGGTGGTTGATGCGCCAAGCCCGTTCACTACTATTGTCATTTGAATGATACCCTCAGTACCATGCTTTAACTTTTGTTCAGCCCTGAGTTGGTCAGGCAGTTGGACTAGATGATCGTTGTAGGTCCCTTCCAGCTAAAATATTTGAGTCAGGTTTATTGCATTGCATTGCATTGCATTGCATTCCATTCGATTCCATTCCATTCCATTCCATTGATGCCTTAAGCCCATAATGATTTTCTTATTTTTCTACCTTATAAGTTTTATAGGTAATAGAAGTAGATTTTAGAAACCCTTTCTCCCTCCTCCCCATAGTACCCTTTAGTTTATACATTCCTTAATCATCTCACCCCATTCCATACCCCCCCATCACCCTACCCCCATATCTAGTAGAAAATGTTTAGTCTTTTAGTCAAGGCAGGCCTGTCTTGTTTGGAGAACGCTTGTATCTTGGCCTAAACCGCAGGACAGAGTCAAAGAACTGGGTCACCCTGCTCTTTGTACCCTGAAGATGAAGAAGATGATGAAGAGGGGGTCCCAAAAAGCACCCCAGACCCAATTCCAAGAGGCGGGCCAGGGGGTGGACCAGGCCAAAAGTTATAGGGTGGACACACTTAGGATTGGCCAAATATTATTATAAATGTAACATCTCGGGCACAGCCCGGGGCGCGCGCCGTGTAACATCTCTATTGCCTTGGCATAATTAAACCCTTTCTTATCTCACCCCAGCTTACGGCTCCTGAATTTTTTTCGTAGCACCTAGCTGAGCAGGCATCACCATCATTAAGGAGCTACCTGCACTATCATCTGTTATGCATATTTAGAAAAACATGCCATTTACCCACATCGGTATTTGTATGAAATCAAATGGCTATTTTACTTAGAGCAATTCTGTGCATACATAAAATTGTCATTAGGTCCTGTGGGAAGACAAGAAGTTACATTTCTTTTACTGTATTTGAGTATGGATCATGCAAGCTGCACAGTCTTTCTGCAAAATTACTGTTTCATATGTTTTCCCTAATTTTGCTAGGAGCTGGGGAAATAAGAATTATGGGCAACAGCTAGCATGTAATAGGGGCGTGCCCTGCAACAGATACTTTTTTTGTTCAAAGGTGGTAGATAAGGTGCAGAAAAATATTTATCCATACCTCACTAAAATATACCTCACTAAAATATAACCACCTACTATATTGTGGACTTGCATATTAACTTAGTTGATACAAACTCTTGTACAAATTCAGGCATGTACATAAATACCCACATATATTCAAAAATCGTTATGAATTAAATTCTGTATGTTCCAATAAACTGGAGGTGTGCAGTGCTGCAGTTTTTATGATTGCTTGGACTAAATAACTGATAAGTGTTCTCCATAATATTGTCTGGAATGAAGGAAATGGGAAAAGGAATTAATTGGGCTTTTATTTGAGGCAGCAATGTATGCATGTATCAGTCTACACAAGTACTATGCTGCTGATATGTTTCAGTCTTTTTAATGATCAGCACATATTTGTAGCTGAATAGGCAGTAAATCAATGGAGACCAGATATTTTCACAGTAAACAGTAAAGAGTTTTGCAGTTTGTCTAGTCAGGAAAACTCCTTTCATTTATCCATATAGAAATGGTATCAGGTTGCTGAAGTTCTGCTTAAACTTTTGAGTTGCACAGGCTCCTGGTATATTTTACACTTCTTTTGCTCCACTAACAAAAGAGAGGTGTTTTCCCAAAACTTCTTACAGAATTTCTTACAGAAACCTTGATGCTCAGGAGTCCTTGATGCAAAATTAGATGCCTAGGGTTTCTGCTTTACGGTTCCTCTACCCAATAGTAGTGTTGGTGAATGCCTTCTTTCATTAATGTTTATGCATCTAAATTAGAGGTAGCAGTGGTAGAGGATTTAATCTCTTCTGCTGAGTCTATCTTGTTATTTGTGTCTTTGTGGACACTTTTTCAACACTGTGAGACTCAGTATATTGGTGGTAGGCATTTTTAATTTCTCTGTGAAGACTCAAGATAGGACTGAGTTACCATGCATGGCATGGTGTGCTCTGTGTGGTCTTGGCCTGTGAAGTGTAGAAATGTGTTGGCTTAAACAACTTTGTCTCCATGGCTAACATACTCATCTGGTTAATCCCTTCAGCAAAGTGCGAATCAAGGTAACAGTAAATATTCTTGCAGTGTAGAAGCCTGAGACCCCTCACTCAGTTGACATGTTTCTACTACTAAAACCCAAATCTCATAATGAGGCCTGGAAGGTGGATCTGTATAAGCCCTGAAAACCATGGTTGCTTTTTCAGATCCATTAAAGCTTTTATTCATTAATGACTGCTAAATAGTAGTAACAGAAGAAGAGAGGCCCATAATCTATGGCAGTCCAGGCAGCAGGGCAGTCAGAGACAAAATATTAGATAGGATGCCTTTCTCTTGGCTTGTGATGTATTGAGAGGTATGGGTTACCTGAAAAAAAGAAACTTTGAAGAAAAATAATATTTTCTTGTCTGGGGAAAAAAAAGCATGTAACAATAGCAAAATACAGGATAATGGGGTTCATTGTAAGTCAGTAATAAATCAGCCTTTTTCATGGAGGAGAAAGCTAGTTAAGAGGGTTGTTGATTCCACTTTAGAGCAGCTATAAGGCCTAGTGCTTACCAAAGTCTTTTGACTCTCCCTCCTTTGGCCTTTGCCTCCAGGCTTCGTTACATCAGATGGTGCCTAAGGCTGATTAGTCCTCACCTCCTGCTGAGGACATCTCTGGGTCCTGTAAGATCTGAAGGAAGCAGTCAGGTCTTGGTTTCTCATGAGGGCATCCACCAAGATGGATTTCAGACTGAACTGAAAGAGGAGAACAGTAAGCCGGAGAGAAAGGCACACTGGCAAATTTCCCCATTCTCATAGAAGCATAAAGCAACTTCGGATTGTTCCTAGAAGATTTAACAAAGAATTGGATTTTATTGTGGTCACTACCTGATAGTCTGTGTTTGTAGACTGCGTAGTATCTCCTCTATAAGAATTCTCTTGACCCTGAGGTCAATTCTTGGGAAGGAGAAAATTTAATTTCTTCTTTATGAAGAAAACCAGGAAGCCTTGCTAGCTTGTATTAGGACTGTCCTAGGAGTCCTCTCTGAACGAATTTGAGAATGTCTTCCTGTATTTTTATCAGACCAAGAAGCAGAGGCCAGAATGGTACGATAGATCTAAGGATTTGAAGCTCTGTTGTGAATGCACAGCGCAAAGATTAGCCTGCTAAGGGGGAAAATATTAATACCATCTCTGACCACCGAGAAAGAAATATAAACTTCTTTTATATATTTGTATGGTTTTTTGCATACACAAATATTCATAAACAGCACAAATAAAAGGTGCAGAGTTGGCTGGTAGGAGGAGATGACTGTCTTGCTTGAAGAGAGGTGAATTGAGTTTTTCAAGTTATTTCCCTTGAGGCAATTAGGCAGAAATACGAGCTGCTAGATGTGTGTAAATATAACTCGGATTTCTCTGTGCTTGGTTTATATTATTTACATTTATAGAAACTAGCTTCCATTTAGAATAGCTAATGCAGAAATAACTACAGAGTTCTCTCTGCTTTAAGGTTGATGTCACTTTTGGTCTCACCCTTTTTGGATGTGTCATGAATCTTTGAAGAGGTGTCAGACAAACACTTTCAGAATTAGATTTTTAACCCTTATATTTCTTTTCCTGTTTCAAGCTCTTTTTTTGTGGTTGTTTTAATTTGAGCTGTTGCTCACTACGGAGCTGTTTCTCCCAGTGCCAAAGTGCCTGTCTGAGAGAATCATGACAAAGAGTCACTTTACTAAAAATAAAATTCAGTTTTGGTTTTTTTTTCATTCCACGTGAATGGTGATTTAGATATTGGTTAAGTGAATGTTTGAGTATATTTCTTAATGTTTTTGATTTGCAGATCATAAAAATAAATCTAAAAATAAAACCAAACTCACCCTCTTAGAAATGCAATTAATTCCTCATTGTAATGTATGTCATATTATGTGTAAGAATTCATTTTTATAAATTCAAAAGAAGCACTAGTCTGATAATTAAAGAATAGTAAAATCGTAGTATTTAAAAGATGACAGCCAATGAAGTTCTTCTAGCAGGGTATTTAAGCAGTTGTTCGGGTAGACTTTTAACATTCACTAAATTGGATATATTCCTTAGTGAACAGTATGCCAAGGTGAGCTGCACATTTCCACTGCCAAAACGAACTCTTTAAAATGAAATATGTCTTGGAGTATGGTAATGGGAAACATCCCATGATTTCACACATTTCTTGATAATCTCCATGGAACTCTAACACTTTCCATATGTTTTCCTGGTTGGCAGGTGGAGTGGATACAACAGCAGGTGGTTAAAAGACGGATAAAGAGGGATTATAAAGCTGGTGGTACCCAATCCACTTATTTCAATGATCCCAAATGGCCAAGCATGTGGTACATGGTAAGTACATACAGGGCCATTGGCTCTGTTTCATTGTAGTGTTTAGTTGTCTGGTTTGATATTTCGAAAGGGGGCAGAAGAGTATGTTCAGAAAAAGCAAATTTGGGGATTTTTATGTGACTAATGAACGTTTATGAACTCCTTACAAATATTACAAAGAATTCCCGGCGAGCCCTGCAATAGAAAACATTTATTAATGCATTCATTCATTAACTCTTCCTATTGCTAGTTGTCTTGGGAATTACTTACTAGAGGATAAGCTTTCAACAATGAGAATGGAAGGAGCTTAGCCACAGCTTGTGAGAACCCACTTGTATTCAATGCATAATTCACTGTCTCCAACAGAAATGTATTGTGTCCTGAAACAGGAAAAAAAAGACGCAGATGTTGACCATTCAGTGTTACAATTACACTCTTTTTAATAATGAACAATTGCATTGTTGAAATAAATGGACTGTTGATGCTGTTTCCTATCAGTTTCCTCTCCATCTTGTTTAGTTCCAGGATGAGGTTATTATAACTATGGGGGTTTTTAAGAGACTCATTGTACAGTTTGAAAACAACTTTTATCCAAAATGTAGTTCTTTTCAGCTGTTTGTGAAATTATTTTGGGTCAAGGGATCATGGCAAGTCTTTTTCCCACTTTATTGAAATGTGTATACTTGTCTGTCTCCTTTAATATGTACATTTATTCAATCTACCTGTCCTATAAATATGTGCATAAGGTGACAGACAGATTCCAATTTTTAAAAAATTTTTAAAAACAATTTATGTCAATGTTTTAAATTGAAACTAGAAAACAGCAATGACTTATCTTTAGTTAGTCTGCTGTTACTGCTGCGGACTTTCAGCTCTGTGTTAGACTAGAAAGAGGAAGGCCAAACTAAGAGAATCATAGTAGTCAAGGAAAAGCCCATTATATATCATGTATGGTAGCTTATGTAATTTTTCCTTTGTCCTCCTTTATGTACAAAGTTTATGTACTTTATGTACAAAGTTTTTAGTGCCAGCATAGCTTTTTGATGGAACTAGATTAGTGGGATTTTTTTTAACTGGTAATAGGTGCTTTAGCAGTTGCCTCTAATTTTGATCAGAAGGGTAGCAGTTTCCTATTAATAGATCAGTCGTATTGTATAGCCACATAGTTAGCAGCTCCCCCACAATTGCCAGTCTAACACAGAAAACACTTTTAGGCAGTAAATGGACTTTACCGTTTGTCTTTTACAGCTTTCATAATTTCTCATTTCTATCCCTGTGGAAGAAAGTCCTCACTTTCAGAACTTCTGTGAAGGGCAGTTCCTGATGCATTGCATTTACATCCACTGAATAAGCCCATTTATTTGCAATATCTTCAGTGGTAGTGGTTTGATGACATTTTGTTGAGAGAGATCAGTAAGGTATTAGCAACTATGCTGTTTCATCAGAGAGAATGGGTAAAAATCTGTGAATGGGTTGACTTCAGGACTGACTTGGGTCATTACCAGATATCCTCATGTGATTATGTTTGTGCTTGTTACTATAGCTACTTTTGTTAATCTTTCTTACCTTTATAAGTTGAAGGGAAAAAAGGGAGTTAAAGGTTAATTAGTGGTTTCAGTCATTGCTATGTCATAAAGAGGTTTTTAGTTGCTGTCTGCAGACGTGTTGTTGAGAAAGTAATAAGAGCACTATCGTATACAGATTTGCATCTGAATTAATAAGTAACTTCATTGTGGGTTAAGATTTAGACCTTTGGCCATTGAACTGGGACAATCTCTAACAAGGCCGTTAATGTAGTTCAGATTTGTTGACACAAGTCCTTTTATTCAAAGACTTTTTCAAGCCATATCTCATTTTTTCCTCCCCAAGCTTTTTCTTCACAAGTTCCATCCTTTGTTATTTTAATTGTCTGGGCTAGAAATAATACATTTTTGTTTGTGCGACATCCATGACAAGAAGTTATAAGAGGGATTCAGGTCTTTTTTGTCTTTTGGGCTATCACAAAGTTTAAAAGAATCCCTCAAGAGCTGTAATGTGAACAAATTAGAAGGTCTTTTTTAATCACTCTATTTTTCTCCATTTACACTGAAGGCATTCCTAGAGAGAGCAAAGTGATTAGGAATATAGTTCTTTAGTGCCTTCTGGTTTTGTGGAAGCTGAAGCAGACAGTGCTTTCAGACCCAAAAGTATGCTTTTACTTTTCATGACCAGGACATTATTTAGTGAAAAATTACAGCTTCTAATGCTTTCTAATAACAAGGTGATTTACTTTTGAGTTCCCTCCCTCAAAGCAAGGTAAGTTGGGAAAAAAACCCACTTCTTTAGCATAACCTCTGAATCTGGTGGCATCTCTGCTTTAGAGTAGAATAGAATATTTTTATAGATTTAGTAACATATGAAACTTCACCTATCCAACTATTATTCAAAACCAGATTGGTCAGAGTGAACTGATAGCAAAGAACAAAGTCCCTAGTTAAAATCCCTTTCCGAATTTTGAGTCAGAAGAGACCTAAGTCCTGTATGCCATCCCCAGAGCTTTGTATCATCATGTTAAATCTAATGAATTTCTTCTCTTTCATTGATGTTGACAAAATAACCTGGTAGTCAATAACTGGATGAACTATATACAATCAATGTGCAGAACTTAAGAGGTCAAAGTCAGCTGTTCTGTATCTGAAACTGTTTTGCTTAACTTGAAATAACAACAGTGTCTTCCGAACACTAAGGCGACTTTGTGGGTTATCAATTTCACTGTACCTGCCAGTTGGTTAAATGAGTTTCCTCATCTTGCCTGCATACAAAAACTATAGGTTTTAAAAACTAGAGGAAGTAAATATATAAAAAAAATTAGAAGTATATGCAAAGTTATGGTTAATATAACTAACTTTAACAGACTTCACTCAGAGTACTATGCTTGCTGATTATTTCTTTTTGTTCCCCACTTCAGAAGAGCTTTGTAGTGGTCAGCTGAAACTGGAATCACACAGGCACACAAGCAAACCTTTCTGCAGCTGCAGTCTAGCTATGCTGTGATGATGGGCTCCGTTGCATAGTTTTTGAACATAGAATGTAACAGCAAGAAATTAATTTAGCTATTGTTTATTTTTTAACAAATTATCATTAGATTACAAAGTTGCTGATTATGTCTTTGCAGTCAGTTCAAACAGGTACAAATCTTTTTCAACACTGATGAAGGATAATCCTCTACAGTACTGTTACTATCCCTTCTACTGTTGATAATAATTGCTAGTTTTGAAATAATTCTGTAATTTGGAGAAGTTTACAGGTTCTTCCCACTCTGTGTGGCCTAGTTAGTGATGGGCAGGAACTGAACATGTAAAAGGATATTTCTGTGGGACTGAGAATAGGCTAGAGGAGGGTATGATATTTTGAGATGTGAGTCTGGAGGGAGAGGCACTGTTCTGTTAAAGCACCTAAGAATAAATGAGATAGTTAAAGAGTATAAGGCAAGTTTTTTTCTTATCATTGGATGCTACTTCATCAGAGTAAGAGGAAATGTTATTCCCTATAGCTGGGAAAGATGCAGCACTGTGAGAGATAAAAAGCGGAAAGATGGAACTTCTGCTGCAGTAAATAAATGGGACAAGATGGTACTCCTCTGAGAAAGTACAGCACAAAATCACTGTGCAACAAAAAAGTAAATAACTTTAAAAAATATGTTATACTCAGAGAAGAAGCTAGCCAGGGCCTCTACCATGCATACTTCAGGGTCATCCTGAATATTTTTGTAGCAATGAAACTTACCTGAGAATGTAGGGAAATAGCTGACTATCACTAAGATTGTAAACCACAGCAGGAAGTGGAACACAGGAACTTGTCTGTCAGCTTCTCAGATAGAAAATAGGTGAGATTGTCACATTCCTAAGCTGCTTGGAATAGAGGAACACCACCTATTATATATCTAAGCCAAAGAAAAGGCTGCCTTCTAAGTGTCATTGCTAAATATATCCCACACCAAGAAAAAGTATAATTCAAAGCCTCATTGAAGTAAAACTTCCGTTTTATTTTATGTGTATGTCATGGTTTAGGTATTCCCCAATTTAGTGTTCCCACTCCAAACCATATGCCACTCGCTCCTCCCGCTTCCCCCTCCCCCTTCATGGGGCTGGAGAGAAGTAGTGCAGGCACAAAAGGCAAAGATCTCGGGTTGAGATAAGAACAGTTTACTGGAAACAGCAATGCAATAATAAAACGTACAGTAACATCAAAAATACTAATGACAGAGGGTCCGAGAATAAAAACAATTCACACGGAAACACCCCCCATCTCCCCCCTCCCCCATTTTCCCCCCAAATAAACAATACCCAGCTGATACCCAGCTGCTCCTAGCTGTGCCCTCCTGGCTTCTGCAGAAATTAACCCTGTCCTGACTGGAACCAGGACAATGTATCTTAGGTCCACAGTGAGATCAGCTGTTCTGTCTTAAATCATTTTAAAGCCTGTTTTTGCTGTTGGTCCCTACAAAGGCAGTACGCCTTCTTTTGAAAATTATTTTCCTTTCTCAAAATCTTTTTCCTTTTCTCAGCCTTTGTTATTTTCTTTTCACATTTATTCCACTTACAAATCAGTGCTTTGGGAGAGTAGGCAAAAGAGTAAAGCTAGAAGCAGATGACTACACAGTCTTCTGTTTGGAACCCAAAAGAAGGGCTTTTGTAAGCTGCCTTGTAGGTCTTCATAGTCTGCTACTTTTCTGTGAGAGGCAGGCAATATAAAGGACTAGAAGATAGCAAATTTTGTGTAGTCTTCTTAAAAATAAGAAAAATATATTAGGTAATCATAATGAAAACAAAGGAAGGAATGACAGGAGTGTGATAAGATGAAATAGAAAGTGGTGAAGGGAGAAGGAGAGGTCACAGTGGATCTGAGTGCCGACCTGGGTACAGGGGAGACAGAATTAAGGATAGAATTTCTCCTGCCATATGCTAACACCACAGCAAATGAATACATGTCACCCTCCTTTACGACCTCCTAAAAATTTATTTGGCAGCTAAGGAAAAACC